CTCCTAGTAGTTCACCAAAATCATCACCATATACAAATTCACCAATATTAAAATGCCTAGATCCCAAAGTATTATTAGAAATGTCCCATCTACTCTAAATAGGAGAGTGTTTTTTTTTTTTCCTTTTTTCTTTTTTTCCCTTCCCCCCAATGCTAGTAAAATTCTTGTTACCATCCAAGTCGTATTTTGTATCATGGGGCAATTTGGGAACTTGCTAAAAAAGTTAGTTTTTTGACTTTTTAGCCTTTTTACACAAAAAAAACTACTAAAAAGTTAAAAAATTAACTTTTTATCAACTTTCCAAAACACCATAACTAGATCTTTGCACTCTCACCTTATCTAAAGAAAATAAACTTATGTGAGTCCTTCAGAAGAATACCTATGGGAGTTTCCTTCACACAACAGCCTATTTATAAGTTTATTGTTGAATTCCAAGGTCATAACAAAAATAAAAGGAAATAAGGTATCAAAAAACATAGATATTACTGTATACAATTTCAAAGGCTTATTGGCTTTTTAATAAGTTATAACTTACAACTTTGCTGTAAATCCAACCAAACTACTGAAAAAAAAAAAAAAAAAACTAGTCATACATATAATTGAGGGCAAACACAAGCGGGATGCTAGTCCCATTTTCATATGTGGTTTAAAACAATTTTAGTAGTTTAATAATAAAATAGTAATGATTGGTAATGTATTTAGCCTTCGTTTGAGAAGTGAGTTGACTTTTAAACTTTTTAATTTTTTTGACTATTTTAGTCTGGGGCTAAAAAATTTAGTTTGGGAAAAACTTTTTGATTTTAGACTTTTTGGTGAGGTGTCCATATATAATATTACTAAATTGCCCCTGACGACTAATTTTGTCCAACTGACGTCACCACACACTTTCCCTTTTTTTTTTTTTAAATTTTATTTTTATTTCGGTGGCTGTGCTATGGAATTGTTGACCCAAATGGTTTTTTTGGTCATTTTAATATTTGTTTTTTTTATTACATTAATTTGGTTTTGTTATGTTTTTTTTTTTGGTCTTGATTTTTTCATGTGTTTTTTTATGTTGATTTTAAAATTATTTTTTTTAATTTTCTGTAAAATAATAAAAAGTGAGGTTTTAAATAATTGTCCTGTGTATTTTAAGGTCTTATTTTTTTTATTTTTTTTTTTGCAAATGGTTTTTTTATGTGTTTTTTATTTTAATTTTTGTTTTTCATTTTCTGTAAAATGATAAAAAGTGAGGTTTTAAATAATTGTCCTGTGTATTGTAAATAATTTAATTTTAATTTTATATTTAAATATTCAAAAATTTTAAATAATTTAAAATGTTAATATTTTTAATTTAAAAACAACTCTACACTCAAATCGTAACCAAACACATAAAACAAAACTTAATTAATTTTTAATTTTAATTTTAATTTTATTTTAAATATTTAAAAAATGTAAATAATCTAAAAAATTTACCTTGGCAAAAATTTAAAATAAATATTCAAAAAATTTAAATCGTAAAAATTTAAATATTCAAAAAATAATTTTAACAAAAAAATTTAAATAATTTAACTATTCAAAAAATTTAAATAATTTAAAATGTTAATATTTTCAATTTGAAAATAACTCTACACTCAAATCGTAACCAAACACATAAAATAAAACTCAATTAATAAATTATTTTTAAAACTCATAACCAAACACATAACTCGAAACTCCATACTACTTTCACAACTCTACACTCAAATCATAACCAAATATATAACCAAAAAATTAAAATATTTAAAATATTTTTATAAATAGAGTTTGAATTTATTTTTATAAAATATTTTAACAAAAAATAAAGAATGTTTTTAATTTTTTTTTTTTCAACTTTCTTTGCTTTTTTCTGGGAAAAAGTTTTTTTTTTTTACTTTTCATGTGCTGAGGCGTTGCCCATAATTCATGTGGGGTAATTTCGTAAATTTACGTTGCCCTTGATTGTTGCCCAGCACCTCACAACTTTTTGTCATCACTTGGCTATTTAAGCCTGTTTTGTCCTCACTTAACTAAAATAGCCCAACCTTCCCTTCCCAAACACAGGCTTAATGATGTCATCTATACCATCGGTCTTATTATGATTAGAATTATTATTCCTATTATATTCCTTCTTTGTTTAAGACTTCTTTTACACTATATATAAAGGATCATCGTACTTATATTTCATTATGATTAATAATACAAAGATCCTTTGAAAAATGTTTGGCTTTACTGGCAAACTAGCAAAAAGTTAATTTTTAACTTTTTTAACCAAAAAAGTTAATTTTTTTTACCCAAGTCACTATCCAAAAAGTTAACTTTTTTGACTAAAAAAGTCAAAAATCAATTTTTTGCTAACTTCCCAAAACACCACCGAGAATACTCCCTCTATTATTAATCATAATAATGAAATATAAGTACAAAAAGAAGTCCTAGATAAAAAAAAAGAGAATAAAATAGAAATAATAATAATCTTAATTATAATATGGATTGATATCATAAAAAACATCATCATATACATTAACAAGAATAATATTTTTCTATCAAGCCACATATTATTATGGTGGGCAAACGACTCAAAAAACTAAAGGAATTGAACCAACTAACCTGTTTCGATTCTTGAAGTGACATGGTTCAATTTTAGTTCTGAAACTAATCAACTTAACTATGGGTTGGTTTGAGAAGTAGGTTAACTTTTTAATTTTTTGACTTTTTGAACTATTTTAACCTGAGCTAAAAAGCTTAGTTTAGGAAGAACTTTTTAACTTTTTGATTTTTTTAACTTTTTTTTGTGAGAGAAGAGTGTAATGATTATGAATTGAATGTGATGTTTTGTTTGTTGTGACTAAAATAGCCTATTTTGTCTTTTGTGACTAAAATAGCCAAAAAAACCCACAAAATCATTCTCAAATTTGTCATTTTATATATTGTAATTGTCCTATAATTATTTTTGTTTTGTCTTTCTTTAATTGTTATTCTTGTTTTTATAGTGGAATTCAAATTATGACAATTTCATTCTATAAAGTATTTTAGTTTATTGTGTGATATGTATAAAAATTTTGAATTAATGTGAACTTTTAGTTTCAATTCGAATATATTGGTATTGTTTGGTGCAGCTTATTGTAAGATAAAAGTTGATAATCAGAAAACTAAAATCAAAAGTACCCCTTCTCCAGTTGCTAAATAATAAAAAAATTTCAGTTTATTTAAGTTATTTCTGCCTAAAAAGCTGTAAGTAGAAACTGCACCAAACAATCTGGCACAGATTTTCAAATTAAAATAAGGAATAATCACCTCTTATAATCCACACCAAACACCCCCCATTAAAGTTGAATTATTCATTTCCAAAGTATGGTCAATTCAATTTGGAGTCCCAAACTCAATTCCCAAAGGATTAATTTGGTATGTCATCTAAAATTTATTGGAAAATTTACTCATAAATCCTATTTTCTGAAAAGTTAAACCGTTTAGTCCTAAAAATTTTCTTATGCACCATTTAGTCCCATTTAATTTTGGTAAACAACATCAAACATCATCATCAAAACAACATCAAACATCACAACATCATCATCAAACATCTGGGACTACCAAAGAAGAACCCTAACTTCCACGGCGTCCAATCTCCCACTTCTCACATCATCGGCAAGATTCCCCTTGCTTCAGACTCCTCCCTCATCTTCCTCATTCCAAAAACCAAAACCTCTTCTAGACTCTCACATGAAATAAAATAAAATAATAATAATAATAAATAAATAAATAAATAAATAAGGCTTTGGAAATTTGTGTTTGTTCATCTTCAATTGGTGCAATCGATTCAATGGCGAAAAATCATCGGACCACAGAATCAGAGAAGTTGCTTCTGACGTAACACGCCGAGAAGCACTTCACAGCGGGCGAGATCGTCCACGACATTATCATCGGCGTCTTTGACGGCCTCACCGTCCCCTTCGCTCTCGCCGCTAGTCTTTCCGGTGCGAACGCTTCCTCCTCCATCATCCTCACCGCCGGCATCGCCGAGGTCGCAGCCGGCACAATCTCCATGGGATTCGACGGTGGTTTCAACATCATCAACGCCAACATTTAGGTGGTCTGATGTTCTTCTTCGATTTAAGGGATTTGAGGGAAGAACATCACTGTGTTGAAGATTTCGATCGAATATCACACATCCGATATTCAAGAACATTCAAGAACATCACTGTGTTGAAGAACATCACAGATCCGACATTCAAGAACATCAATGTGTTGAAGAACATCACAGATCCGATATTCGATCCGATTTGAGGGAAGAACATCACTGTGTTGATGATGTTTTGTTAATGTTGATCTGTTTTGATGTTGTTTGATGTTCGAAAATTATCTAATTTTTTTTTTTCTTTTTCAGATTGTTTTTTTGCCTTGAAGGTCTGGAATGCCCACACATTGACCATCAATGGCGACTCATTATCCTTTAGAAATGGTTGTTTGTGTACTGATGTATAATGTATATGTTGATGTTTGATGTTTATTTTTTTAGTTTGATGTTTTGATGTTGTGTTGTTGATGATATGATGATGATGTTGTGATGTTTGATGTTGTTTTAATAATGATGTTTGTGATGTTTGATGTTGTTTTGATGATGATGTTTGATATTGTCTGATGTTGATGTTATGATGTTTGATGTTGTTTTGATGATTATGTTTGATGTTGTTTTGATAATGATGTTGTGATGTTTGATGTTGTTTTGATGATGATGATGTTGTTTTGACGATGATGATGTTCGATGTATATGTCCTCTATGGTCAATTTCCCTATAATGGGACCTTTCAGTCTATAAGAAAACTTTTAAGACTAAATAGTGTATAAATTATTAATTTGAGATTTATTAGTGCATCACCCAAATTTATTTCCTGTCACTTAAAACATCATCTACTTATGTGGTGAGATGCATAGAGTAAAATATTGACACTTTCAATTAGGGCTAGTTTAGCATGTTAGAAAAAAATTAAAAAGTTACTCAAAAAGTAAAAAAAAAATAATCACCATTCATAAATTAAAAATATAAAAAAATTAATTTTCACAATATTAGTACAATCCAAAAAGCTACACAGTGATGATACTGAAGTGATGGAAAATTTACGCAATGATAGTACCAAAAAAAAAATAGTTCTATGTATTCATTAAGTTGGAGGGTAGTGTTGGGCCCACCACTGATCCCATTTCGATAATCTGAATCATTCAATGTGTAGAACTTGTCGAGTATTATATGCCTGACAAAAATCACATTGATCGGATATGAATAGTTATGTGATCAAAACAGTACTCTCCAACTTAATAAATATATATATCTATTTTTTTTATCATTACTACGTAAATTTCCCATCACTTCAATACCATCACTATGTAACTTTTTAAATTATACTAATATTATAGAAATTAACTTTTTTTATATTTATAATTTGTGAATAGTGATAACTTTTTTTACTTTTTCAATAACTTTTTAATTTTTTGACTTTTTCTCAACATGTCAAATCACTCCTAAATTACTCCCTCTTCTATTTGAAAGTATAAGGCCCACGCTAACATTCAAATCTTATGTTGGAGAATAATTTCAGGTTGTAAAATTTTATATATCCTGACATTTGTTAGGGATACCTAAGCAGAAATCAAACCCGCCACGTGGTTTCTCAAGGAAAAAGATAATGACACTTCCTAATTTACACACTAAACTACTCCCCACTTATATTGGAAATAGTTTAATATTTAAATTAAGAGGTATCCCTAATAATGTTGTTTCCTTAAAGAAGATATAACGGCTGCTTTTTTAGAATAAAACAAAAAATAAAAAATAAAAAACATTTTTTAATAAAAACAAAAAATTATTTAATAATTCAGAATTATCACATTTTTTTTTTATCTCGATTAATTATAATCAGTTAAATCAATCAACATAAAACCCGAGATCTCACTCTTTCATCTTCTCAAAGACCTAGGCGTGATAAAATGAAATATTAAGCTTTAATTTTACTGATTTAATCAATCATAATTGATCGAAATAAAAAAATAATATAGTAATCCTGGATAACGAAAAAAAAAAAGAAAAGACCACTCCTATCCTCTCTTCCTAAACTACAACACATACACTCACAAAAACACAATCATGTTAGTGTTTTGTGTTGTAGTTCAATTGGCACACCCTTAACATTACGAATAATACTAGGAGTCATGAAAAAAATATCACAAAATATATCATGAAGATTTTTTATCCCTTGATTAATGTGTGTTGTTTTATTCTAAGTGTAATTCTTTTATGATATTTTTTTCATAATTCATAACATTACTACATTATTTGCTTCAAACATGCTACATGCACATAATATACTACTGAATAAGTTTTAACACATTCACATCAGTGTGTAAGTAATTAATTCGGTAAAACATTAAAACCATCAGGAAAGCAAAAACATTAAGATAGTGTGGGCATCCTTTGTCGCCAAATAAAACCTTATTTGGTTTTCAAACTCAATAATAATTTTTAATTTTTAATTTTTTTTTTATCTTGTCCTCAGTGAACTTTTTTTATATTTTAATCATTTTTTTGTACTTTTTAAAAGTACCTAATATATGTACACCTAAAAAGTAAATATTTATGAAAAATCTAAAAAAAACTTACTAAAAACAAAAAAATAAATAAAAAATTTAATTTAAAAAACTACAAATTTTCGTATTTTTTGTCTTTAATGAACTTTTTCCAAATTTATTTATAAATATTTTACATTTCAAATACATCTAAATTAAAAACATTTAAAAAATTTTAAAAAAAAGACTAAAATAAGAAAAAAATTTATTAAAGACCAAAAAAATATGAAAAAATAAAAAGTTTAAAAACAATTTTAAACAACTAAACCAAATAGACTAAAATTTTTAGCCCAAAAAAGGCCATTTTATTATTATTATTATGAAAAAATTATATATTGGTGAAAAAATAGGATTTTTTTATTTTCAAATCAGTGCAAAACCATTTAAATTTACAACAAAACGAGATGTTGGAAAGTCAAAAGACACAAAAGCAGCACAACTACTAAAAATGAATTTGTTCTCATATTTTAGAGAAATGTTTGGGTCTCTCTCTTTTTTTTTTTTCTTTTTTTTTTCTTTTTTGGACGTTTCATCACCTCCAATTTGATGTTGGCCCTTAATGTATGTGTATGAGGTCGACTTATGTATATGTGAACCTTATATTATGAATGGTTGAGATGAGAGTGAGAGTTGTAGGGGTCATGTATATGTGAAGATCTCTATCACAATTGCATATTTTAATGTTGAATAATGATACAGAGCTCTAATATTGAAGTTTTAAATAGAACTCTACACATGTGACAAGAAAAAAAAACAAATGTACAGGCACAGACATCACATCAAAGGTGAGCCCCACCTCTTTAGATCTTCTCTAGAACTCTCTTTTTAGAGCTCTCAATCATTTTTCTTTAATGTTGGAACAAAATATGTTTGGGAGCTCTAGAGAAAGAGCTCTAGAGAAAACTCTAATAGTGGATCCCAACAAAATATGTTTGGGAGCTCTAGAGAAAGAGCTCTAGAGAAAACTCTAATAGTGGATCCCATCACGTGATGTGATGTTTAACCTGTGTTTGTTTTGTTTTGGTTTCTTTTTTTTTTTGTTTTTTTGTTTTTTGGTTAAATGCCACATGTATAAAGCTCCATTTAGAGCTCTATACCTAGAGCTTTCAATCACTGTCGATGTTGGAACAACCGTACAATATATGATTAAATCTCAGGCCTTATTTGGTAATTATATGTTTTAATCAAAAATTTAAAAAATTACTATAAATTATCATATTACTTTCTCTATCATTCTACACATCTTTTGATAAAAAGTCAAAAAATTACTAAGGTTGGTTTGGCAAGGGCTCATTGGGCTTTTTTGGCGCAATGAGCCATAAAAGACAGAATAGGCTCATGAGCCACAACAGACAAAACATCCCATCCAACCCCATAATCATTACACTCTTCTCTCACAAAAAAATCAAAAAAGCCAAAAAACCAAAAGCCCTTCCCAAACTAAGCTTTTGAGACCAGGCTCATATAGTCAAAAAAGCCAAAAAAACCAAAAAGCTAACCCACTTCCCAAACGGAGGCTAAATTAACTTATTCCCTAACGAGACTTTATATTTAGACTTCGTTTGATATGTATTATTTTAACACATTATCTTATTTGAATCATAATTATCTCATTCATCTTATTTGAATCACATCATTTCTCTACCACATTATTTCAACCACAACCCACATTTCACATTTTTTTTTTCATAAAAAGTAAAAAAAAAATACTAATTTTACACTTCCCAAATAACCCTTTAAAATGTGTATATACCGAAACAAAATTGTAGATTCTATATCAAATACTGACCTCTTTCGGTAACTAGGTTAAAAGTCAACTTTTTAATTTTTTACTTTTTAAAATCATATTATCTCTCTATTTTTTATAAATATTTTTTTCAAAAAAACCAAAAAAAATTAAAAAATTGACTGTTAACCTACTTTTCAAAATAAGACATTATATATTGTTCACGCACTCTTTGAGTAGGTGTTTGCGGTGTTTGTTTAGTGTTTTTATTTTTTTTGATAAATTACAAATATAAGATTTACTTAAAGTACAGATTGCCTCATGTAATTTGAAAAATTATAAATACCCCATTGTTAGAATTTTTTATTTAACAGAATTAATTAAAAAAATAAAATTCATAATTGTTCTTTTATATAATAATAAAATTACCTAAATTATTAATTGAAACATATTTCTAATATTATTAAAAACTGTTAATTGACTTGATGATTTATTAATAAAATGAACGATTTGTTATGAAATTAATAACCTCAGGAGTAGAATGTAATTTTCAAAATCACAGGAGACGATTCGTATTTTAATTAAACCTCGGGGGTATATTTGCAATTTAGCCTTCTTCTTTTTTTTTTTTTGCTTTTTTAATATTTAAAAAAATTTACATTTTGGATTCTCGTCAGACTGGAAAAATAAAATAATTTTAAATTTTTTGAAAAATAGTCAAAAAAAATGACCCCAAAAATAATTGAGTTTTTGACTTAATTTAGCTATTTTTTATTTTTTTTTATAATTTAGATTCGTCTATATTAAACAAATTTGGTAAATAAAAATTTTGACATAATTTCAAAAAATCGGAATCCATGTGTAAATTAAAAGGTTTGCTGTATCAAAAGCAAAATTTGAACCAAATCCTTGTTAAATTACTCAAAAATGTCAAGACCCACTAGATTTATCCTCAAAGACTGAACAGATCTGATATTGTGACAGTTGAACAAACCATAAACAACATAAACATGAAACAACAAAAACCATAAAACTATTTCAGATCTATGCATGCAAATCATTAACAAAAACAAATCACAAACACAGATCAATCTATTATACATAACAAGGAAAGAAGAAGAAAAAGAAGATGATGATGATGATGATGATGATGTTACCTTAGCAAAATATTGAGAGACCTAAAAACAGCAGGACAAGGTCGGGAAGGGGAGGATCTGCAGAAAATCATCGGTATGGGGGGTCTTGGGAAGGATTTACTTTAAATCCTCCCCAAGTTCTCCACACCCACAACTTCCTGCAAATCGATCTCCATTTACTTCTTGCTCCTCTCACATCTTTGTAGATTATAGCAAAAATTGCGACAAAAAAACAAAAATAAAAATGGAAAGTTGGGGAGAAAGGAGGAAGCACATGAAGCCATTGGAATGAGAGGACTGACAAAGAAGAACAAAATATATGAAAATTCTTCCTCCCCAAGCCTCCCTATCCTATAGATTCATGTTACTAAACCTCCCTTCTCCAACCCTCCCTTCTCTTCTCTGTCTTTTTTATTCTCTTTGGCATATTATTCTTCTGATCCTACCAAGACTTTGTGATAGTGAACAATATTAAAAAAGAGAAACGCTACAATGTGAATCTTTAAAAATGTATATGTCAATAAAGAGGGGGGGTTATAATATTAATGATAAATTTTATAATATTAAAAAACTAATTTTATTAACTTTTTTTATGTATCTGAATTTATTTTTTTCACTCCCCATTAGCTTGTTATTTTCTCAAAAAGAAATTATAATTTTTGTAGTGAAAATTATAAATTTTATGATAAAAATTATTATTTTTGTGATAAAAGTTATGAATGCGATGTTATGATATTCATGTCTAAAGTAAAAATTATACTCTCTATAGTAAAAATTATATTTTTTATGATGAGTAAAAAGTTATATATTTTGCTAAAAAATTATATTTTTTTGTGTAAAGTACATACCATATACACCTTTTATATGTTGTACATGATTGCTTTTTTTAAGATAAAATAAAAAATAATATTACATATTAAAAATGAAATTATTAAGAGAAGTATTCAAGAAAAGTACATTTCTGAATCAAAATCGCTCTAGGTGTGATTCATGTTCTACTATAAATTTATATCAAATACTTCACTTTTTGAATAATTTTGAAACCAAGAATTCATAGCAAACGGCATTTTCCAATAAATAATTTAAGCTCCGTTAAATAAATTTTAATGATTGACTTTTTGAGCATTACCATATATAACATAATTTTATTTTTACCCAATTTTCTCACTCTAGATATAAAACAATACGACAATGCTACGTAGCTCAAATTTTGTGGCTCAAAAGTGGCTCAACTGGCCAAAACGACGTCGTTTTGAATACAGAACAACATAAAAATGGCCAAAACGACGTCGTTTTGGCCATTTGAGCCACTTTTGAGTCACAAAATTTGAGCTACGAAGCATTTTCCAAAGCAATAAGACCCTTATTAATAAAATACATATAAGATCTATGCTGAAAGCTTAGAAAATATAATTAAAAACATGATTATATGTAACATTCTTTAAACATTTTTCTTTGTCAAAGCATTTTCATTGTGTGTTTTTTGTTGTCATTTTGTTTTTGTTTTTTCATTTTTTGTGTTTTAAAAAAGAGTGATCAAATATGTTTATTCTCTTTTTCACCAAGGACTTTTCTTAAGCGTGCCTTGCATATTGTATGCAAGGCATTTACACCTTGCATTTACATCTTTGTAATGCCTTGCATTTATGACATTTTTTGTGCATTTACACCTTGCATACGGTATGCAACCGTAAGGGGGTTGCACACTTAAACATTACCCTTTCACCAAATATATTTATAATCTATTTTATTATATATATTTTTTGCATAAATTAATAAAATTACACCACTTAAAAGATGAAAGAAGAGAAGTACAAAAAATTGGAGAGGGATAATTTTAGTTGTCGACAAAGGTATAAATGATTTTATTATAACTTCGTTTAATAATAAAAAGAAAGCGTATTTAGTTAAAAGGGTGAAAATAACACTATCAGGATAGTTATGGGTCAAATTTGAGGTGGATTTGTAGTAACTTGTTCCTACCTCGCGATATATCGGGAAGTGGCAAGGGCGGGTCGCTTTTATTTGTGTATGAGATTGATTTTTTGGACAATTTATACTACTTAGTTGGTTACTATACATTTTTTAAGATTTATTTTTTAAGAATGAAGAGATTTTCTTCCATAAGTGCGAATCTCATAACTAACAACTAATATTTATCGATAAAAATAAAATAAAATAATTATACTACCTTCACAGAAATAAAACAAGAGTAATGTTGCTCTCACCCAAAAGTTAGTATATCTTTATGACCTGAATCTTTATTAAAAAATTATACACTCATTAATAATTTATTTAAGGTATCTGATAATAGTCCCTTTTTTTTTTTTGTGGGGATATATATATAAATAATAAAAAAAGTTAGTATTTTCTAAAAAGTACTGTTACTGCTGGTCACAATGGCGAAAAAAGTGAGGGACTCGAGTAACAGAGGAAGATTGTCGGAGTTACATCAAAAGGATGAAAAGATATGATTTATCCTAAAAATTGAAGATACCAACTTATTGTAATTAAAAAAAAAAACTCTATTAACTTGTAATTCCTTATCTTATATTTTATTAATTACTATTTTTTTTTTATAAAAAAATATGTAAGAAAAAGTAAGAGAATGTTTGGTATGCGCTAAAATAACACATGCTATTTTAACATATTATTTTATTTACATTATAATCATTTTATTTTGATCACATCAATTCTCTATTATATCATTTTAAACTTAATTCATATTTTATATTTTTTTATTAAAAATTATATTTATTTAAATTATCTAAAATATCTCTAATATTTTTTTTTTCTCCAAATCCACCATGGTGTCGCTTTGGTTTGTTGGGGAGGTATCTTTTGACCAGTGTGCACGCTACAACTTTCTTAGGCCTCGTTTGGCCAATTTTTTTTTTTTTCCAAACATTTTCAATTTTTGTAATTTAATTCAAATTTCACTTTCATTTCATTGTTATTATTTTAAATTGAAAAGTTTGATTTCTATACTTCAAATTTAATTTTAATTTTAGTCACTTCTTCTAAATTTTTATTAATTTTTTTTTTATATGTACACCTTAAAAGCATGATAAGTGTTTTAATATTGTTAGAATTAACTTTTAACTTGATTGAAAGGACTAAATTAAAATTAAATTTAAAATGTATAATTAAATTATTTAAATTAAAATAATAAGGACTAAAGTAAAATTTTGATTAAATTAAAATAGTGAAAAATATAACTTAGCCTTTTTCTTTTGTGTTTTATTTTTTCAAATATGACCAAACTTTTATTATTTTTTAGACATTTTTATAGTAAAATCTCTAAATTAAAAAATAATAATAATTAAAATTTAAAAAAAAAAAACAATAGATCAAACAAAAATAAAACTGATTTAGGATCCAAAAGAGGCAAGTCGCCATAAAAAAATTATATACATCAATAATAAACTTTATAAATAGTAATAATTAAAATTTTCAATTTTTTCATGAATCTGTAAATATATTTTTAAAAAATCACTTAATTGTAATTCTCCCAAAAAGTTAACCATAAAGAGTAGAAAATAAATTCAACTCAAATTGTCAAAAATTAAACTGTTTGGTTATTCAGTTTTCAAAGTCAAATTTTGAGTTTTTAATTTTTGTTTTTTTTTTAATATTTTAGTCAATTATTTTTATTTTTTTTAGATGCATCTAATCTAAATGTACTAAAAATTAAAATATTTATTAAGAAATTATTAAAAAATTCAATAAATATTACAAAATACAAAAATATTAGTATTTTTTCTGTATTTTTTGAATTTTTTAAAGAGTTTTTCACAAATATTTTACTTTTTTAGTACATCTATATTAGATTCATCTAAAAAAATAAAAATAAATTGTCGAAAATATTAAAAAAAAGTACTAAAAATAAAAAAAATTACTAATCGAAAACTCAAAAATTGATTTTAAAAATTAGATAACCAATCAAAACAATTTGGGCTGTTTTGGAAACTTGACTAAAAGCTAATTCTTGGATTTTAACATATTTTGGATTATATCACCTCTTTACTTTTTTTACACATTTTTTTTATAAAAAAAAAAAGGTCAAAAAAAACTAAAAATTAACTTTTAACCAACTTTACAAAACAAATCTTTTCTATGGGGTTGCTAGGATATAATGATTAGGGATGCGACTCAGGCATATTTAAACGGGTTGAAAGATTGTTCAAGCTCCTAAGTTCTGTTGAAAGCTGCCTAGGTCCATCTAAGTTTGAATTGTAATTTAAGGTTGTCTGTCTTAGCCTGACACGAATTAAACCCCAATTGTTCGAATTGTACATAAATTTCAATTTTTTTAGTACAACTAAGTTAATTAGTTTGTTAAAATTTAACTATATTTATATATTTTTATTATAAAATTATTAATAATATCAAAAACAAATAATTTATATAATACAAAAGAGATGCTACTATGGTGGTCTTTACAATTTATTAGTGAGAAAAAAAAAAGATTTTATATTGAGTTACTTGTTTATATAATATATTCAATATGATCTAACAATCTAAATTACTTTAATATCATCTAATAGTTAATAATTTATATGTATATTATATTTTTTATACATATAATCAATCTTCGAGTTACTCGAATTGTTTGATATTTTTGCTCAAGTCTATTCAAATTTAATTTAGACTCTTCAATTTTTTATTAAACCCATATCGAATTCATAAATATTTTGCCAAAGCTTTAAAAAAAATTAGGTTGAGCTGGGGTTAAGCCAGGGCCGGCCATGAGATAAGGTGGGCAATGTCGCTATCTCGGCCCCGAAATTCTGTCTTAAAAAATAGGGCTTTGAAATAATTTGATATTATGGAATGTCTGGTTAATTTTTTTTTAGTCTTAAATTATATTTGATTTATTAAAATAAAGTTGAATAAAGTAATCATTCTATTATAATGTCTATTTTCATGTTTGATTTACTAAAAAAATTACAAACGAAACTATCCTTCACTATTGCAAGAGAATAGTAATTTTGGAGTGTTTTGGGAAGATGGTAAAAAACTGATTTTTGATTTTTTAACAAGTTTTTCCATTTTTTTAGAAAGTGATTTGAGAAGATAGTTAAAAGTTGCTTTTGAATTTTTTGGTTAATATTTATTTATGATGTCACATCACAATAAAATGACCAAACTACCTCACTCAATTTAAAAAATTTACATTTTCATCCATGTATAATCCTATAAGTAATATAAAAGAGTAATTGCAATTTTATATGTAGCTTTTTTAGACTTGCCAAATAACTCCATAGCTAAAAAAGCTACCCCCAAGCTGCAAACTCAACTTTTAACCCAACTTGCTAAAAGACCACTTTATAAAGAGACTAAAGAATGACTATTCCATTCAATTCAATTTCATTTCAGTGAACCAAACCCTTTATTATATTATTAGTAGTTTAAAAATGAACATTTAAACAAACAATTGAATTGGTGAATAATATTAAACAATTGATGGTTGTTTGCCAAATGTATGAATTATTTATAGAATATTATTTGACTATACGAGTTACAATTGTTTCTAGTAAAATAATTTTTTTAAGTCGAAGTTAATCAAATTTTACAATTTAATTTACTTACATCAAGCAAAAGTGTGAATAAATTAATAGTGTTAACAATTTAAAATATTTAAAATTTGTCTCAATAATTATGTGTACCATATGCAATAAATTTATAGAAGGTACAAGCAAAAAATAAAAGTAAATTAAAGATTGTTATTATTTTATCAATATATATATGTGTGTGTGTGTGTATGTATGTATAGGTAGGAATGGCAACGGGCCGGGGATCATACTCCCCGTCCCCAATCCCCGATTGTGAAAACCTCCCCGTCCCCGACCCCGATCCCCGACGGAGAACCTATCAACGTCCCCATCCCCACCCCCAACGGGGCTCGGGTTTCCCCGACCCCGAAAATTCCCCCGCCCAAAAACATCACCAACAACATCATCATCATCATCAACAACAGATCCACTATCAACAACATTATCAACAACAACAACAACAACAACAACAACAACAACATCACAAATAGAGACATATACATACATACACCATCTGCATCTCTAATAAAAAAAAAAATGGAGACATATACATACATACACTATCAACAGATTCACTATCATTATCAATTGTTTCATTTTCAACATCACAGATCAAAAAAAAAAAAAAGGACAAACAGAGACATACCATTTTCAACATCACAGATCAAAAAACACAGATCTAGGGGTTCGAAACCCTAGATCTAGAAGGGGAAGGAGCAAGAGAGAATCTGGAGAGAGAGGCGAGAGAGTAGAGGGAAGACAACGGTGGTGACGTTGCGGACAGCGACGGTCGCAAACAGTGGCGGTGGACGGCGACAATTCTGGCCCACTCTCCGCCCTCTTCTTCTTGCGAACAGAGACGGTAGCGTGTTTGATGATGCTTACAATGGAGGAAGGGAGATCGATCGGTGCTGGTGATGAGAGGGTTAGAGAGATAGAGATAGAGAGAGAGAGAGAAACCCAGAAATAGATGAGTGAGAGACGGTGAGGCTTGAGTGTGTTATGTTAGGATTTAATTTATATATATATATATATAGAGAGAGAGGGGCATAATAGTAATTTCACATTAGGGAAATGGGGCCAGGGACGGTGACGGGGACGGGCTGGGTCCGGGGCTGTGAAAGCTATCCCCGTCCCCAGCCCCCGGCCCGAAACTGATTGGGGATTCAATTTTGAATACCATCCTCGTCCTCGCGGGGATATTTTTCGGGAAAAAACCATACTAATCGGGGTCGGGGGATCGGGTCCCCGTCAGGTCGGGTTGAAATTGCCATCCCTATGTATAGGAGCCGGAGTCTATCTTCTGAGTTCGCCTTAAGTCTCCAAAAAGTCAGGACCGGCCCTAAGTTGAACCGGTCCAAATTACACCCCTAATAATAATTGCACAATAAACTGTTAATAAGGGAAATAAATTGTCAAAAAAATTCATTACTCACAATGTACTTTTTACACATTCGGCAGCATTTTTATGTTTTTATAAACTTTTAATATATTTTAATATATTGTTTACCCATTTATTGAGTCTGAGCATTTTCCTTTTTGTCTATTTGATTAATATTTTACTGGTTTTTTAGAGTGTTTTTATAATGAGCAAGGGCTAGTGATGAAGTGAAAAAATACCCAGATTCTCAAGGGTCAACGAAGCTCAGTGTTTGGGGAACCCTTCCCAAACCCTTTTTTTTTTTTTTTTTTTTTAAAGTTTCATGATTCATGATTCAATTTTTTTTAAAAAAAAGAAAAATGTATAAATAAAAGATAAAGAAACAATTACAAATTAATAGAATATCAGTGAGAGCAGTATTTTGCACAATTTTCAGTTGCGCCGAACAAATCTTGCAGTCCATTAATTTGAAATTAATTTTAGTATTTTTTAATTTTCAAATATTTCCCTATTTTTGTTTTTTTTTTTTAAATTTTATCTTATTTTAGATCATGATTAAAAAAACAAAAGAAAGAAAGTAACCTCTTATGACGAAGACTAACGATTACTAGTTTTGTGAAGTTTTAAGACCAAAATATCCATAATATTTAAAGAGAACTTCTGAATTATATGTTAAAATAAAATGCTAATCCGTCATTTCATTGTTTCGCAATCTTCTCACACTATCTCGTAATTTTTTTTTTGGGGTACTAATAGGTTTTAATACTTAAATTTAATTTTTATTAAGTCCTATTCAAAATAAGTTCTAGTAAAATTGTCGCTAAAAATGATTTTTTGTGACAATTTTTTGCATGTCCCTAAAAATTAACAATTAATGACTTGTTTTGTCACAATTTTTATAAATTGTTGTTAAAATTTACAATTAATGATACTTTTCTGAGACAAAATTTTCAAACTATCTCTGAAAGTTAAAAATTAGTGACTTTTTTGTGACGATTTTTTTAAACTGTCGCTAAAATTTACAATTAATAATATTTTTATGACAATTTTTAAATTGTCACTAAAAGTTAATAATTAGTGACATTTTTTAATAGTGTTTGATGAAAAACACAATCAATTATTATAGGACATATTGGATAATATATCTACATTTTATAACCTATACATAAGTCCCTTTTTCTTTTTTTCTTTTTTTCCACATTTGTGGGGCTGATTGTCATACATGTTATAATTAAATATTTTTCAATCATAACTAAAAAAAAAATAAGGGACAATTATAAAAAAAAATCTCAAGATTTGAGCCTTATAACAAAATAAATTCTAAATTTTTAATTTTATCAATTTAAATCCTAATTTTTTTTATTTGTTTTCAATTTAAACATTAGCCTATTTTCATTAAGTAAAATCGACAGAAAAATAATATTTTAGTCATAAACTTAATGTAAGTTTACATAAAATATCTAAAATATCTATTTTTATTGAGTTTAATGACTAAAATATTTATTTTTCATCAATTTTACTTAACGGGAATAAGCAAATTATTTAGATTGAAACAAATCAAAGAAAGGTTTAATTTGACAAAATTAAAATCTCAAGGTTTATTTTGTTACAAAACTCAAATTCTGAGTTTTTTTTCTTTTTCTTTTTCTTTTTCTAAGAAATAATAAATTATAACCAAATGCCACAAGTTATATCTCATAATTAAATAATAATCATAATAAGTCTTAGGGGTGGTTTGAGATGTTCTAAATAAGTGTACTTTTTGACTTTTTATGAAATATGGGTTGTGTATGGGTTGGGTTTGAAGTGATGTAACAGAGAGGTGATGTGACTTAAATAAGATGATGTGACTTAAATAGAATAGTAACTTTTTGACATTTTGACATTTTTAGTATATGCTAATGAGTCATAACCAAAAGGGATTGGCTTTCCTTTAGTCCGTGATTGGATTAGAGGATACTGTTGGGCCCGTGGGGTCCACCACGTGTTCCATTTTGATAATCCAAACCGTCAAATGCGTAGAATTCGTTGAGTACTATATGATTGTAAAAAATCACATTGATCGGATATTAATAGTTACATGATCAAATCGGTTTTGTATAAAAAAATGAACGGTGAAAAAATAAATGGTTGATAGAAATCTGAGCTATTGATATCCGATCAACGTGATTTTTTTTAAGCATATAGTACTCGACGAGTTCTACATATTGAACGGTTCGGATTATCGAAACGGAACTCGTGGTGGGCCCGTACCCTCCAGTCCCCTAACCAAAACTGCAAATGTCATAACTGGAACATATGATACCCACATAAAATTTTCCTTTCTTCTATTCATTAAATTTTAAGAGTAAATTACAAATGCACAGCTTGAACTTTACTTAAAATATGAGTTGTCTTTAAACATTCCCTTATTAGAATTTTTTATTTAACAAAATTAATAGAAAAAATAAAATTTATAACTACTATTTTATACAATAATAAAATTACTTAAATTATTAATTAAATTATATTTATAATATTATTAAAAATTATTAATTGACTTGATAATTTTTTTTTATAAAAAGAATAATTTATTATATGATTAAAAACTTAAAAATATGCGATATAATTTTTAAAATTATATAAAATAATTTATATTTTAAAAAGACGTGATATAATATTTTTTTTCCGCTTTGTAGCTTACTATATGAAAAAATTAAATCAATATAAAAATACATTAATTTTCCCATACGTCAGTTATAATTCAATGCAGGGAACTTTATAAGCCTCTATGTTATAGCATTTTTAGTAGAGCCCTTTTCATGCGGGTCCAAATAATAAGCATGTAAAATTTGCAATTAATGCTCTTCTTACTACGTCCATTGAGCTTATTAGTCAAAGAAATATAAAGGGTAAGGCTTTTTGTCAGTTGGAGTTTTCCGATAGTTTAATGTATAAAATTCATTAAGTATTTTTTTTTTATAAAAAATTATATTAATCAAATATTAATAATTACTTGATTAGAATACATTTGTATCAACAATTTATTTTTAAAATTATATTTATTCTTGACATATTTAATCTGATCAAATAATTATCGATATCCGAACAACGTAATTTTTTATAAAAATAAAATATTCAACGAACCTTACACATTAAATGGTTCAGAGCATAGATGTGAGCTCTGTAGTGGGTCCACGGATGCCCAACAAAATGCTCTAATCTAATTTTAAACCAGAGAGAATCCTCTGTTAAATATAAAATAACATATCACAGATCTACACACAATCCTCTCACATGATATTCCCGTACAAATAGAAGAACGGATAATTAACATGCATTTTCGAAATGTAAACGATTACACGAGGATGAATAATTGGGTGAAAGTTGTTCTTTCTTAACCACATGTTGTCTTTACATGATTAGAGGCTTTCTTCAAAACTACTACAGCAAAAACATCCTTCGAAGCTATACACACCTTTGACGCCAAAGTTGACTAATCAACAAATCAAAGAAGACATTTATCAAAAGAGATTGAAAATAATTCAACAATATAACCATGGAGCTCATACAAGAACACAAAGTCAAGTCAGTGCCGCCGGTGAAGTGAAAACCTGAAACCAAGCAGAGAAGATTTCAATTTGTAAGATGGCACAGACAAATTACTTGTTTGCAGCATCAAAAAGACAACGTAAGATGTAGTAACAAAACAAGCTCATTTTGTGGCACTCTAAAGCTATATACTAGTTCTAAAATTTTCTTTTTTTCCGTTTTCTTTTTTAACCAGATGTAAATAAGCAAGGAATCATTTTGTGGCACTCTAATGCTATGTTTGGTTAGAGAATTTGGGGAGAGATTTGGAAAGGAAAATAGAAAAGATAGGTGAAATATAAATAAAATATGCCTATATTTCACCTACTTTCACACACCTTTTCCCTTTTCCTTTCCAAATTCCTTCCCAAATCCTCTAACCAAACACAGCATAAAGCTATCTGCTATCTCCTTTTTTTTTTTTTTTTTTTTTTTTTTTGGGGTAAATGCAGTCTCCAAGTCTTCTAGCCTCTAGGTACAAATTTTGCCAGAATCTAGCTATATGGAATTAATTATAACACTTGATGCATCAAGAACTCTCACACTTGAGTGTAACTTCACTTATTGGATTTCTTTCTAGCTTTGTTCTTTGGAACTTACTTTATTCTTCCATGTAATTTTATCAAATCCCGGCCAATTGTGAAGTGCCAATTTAAATCAAAAGCTAGTTACTCGAAAAAAAAAAAAAAAAAAAAAAAAAAAGGTAAATTACAAATACAAATACATTCTTGAGGTTTGTCAAAAATAAAAATACAAATTCATCCCTTCACATTCTGGAACTTATAAATATTCCATTGTAAAAATTTCCTACAACTGACATAGCGAAAAAATAAAATTAACTAAATACCCACTAATACCAAAATGAAATTATTATACTACTCTCATTTTCATACCACCAAATCTCTCTATACCACCACAATATACACCAACCCTCCTCGGCGACACGCCAAATGCATGTAGACAAGTGGGGTTGATTGAGAAGGGAGAGGGTGGTGTGATGGTTGGGCAAAGTGGTGTTATTAGTTGAGAGAAAATGGGGAATAAGGTGAGACAGGAAAAAGAAAAAAGAAAAATAATTGTTTAACTTCATAAAAGTTAATATAGACATTTCTGAAGAAGAATTGCTTACATCATATACTTTGTTAATTTGACTTAATGGTTGATTAACGGAAAGGGCCATTTGTTATGTCATTTAAAACCTCAAGAGGTGAGATCTAATTTTCTCAAATGTGAAGGGGAAATCTGTCTTTTTAATAAACCTCGGGGGGTATATTTGTAATTTACCCAAAAAAATAAAAATCGAAGCTTGCTATGAGGCCTATACCGCAACTGGAACTTGGAACCATGAAAAATTATGCACAAACATAACACAGCCCACTTTTACTGTTCAAGTATCCAAATCAAGTAATTAGGTGAACATCAACACAAATTAATGACGACACTAAAAACAACAAAATTATTAGAATGCTGATATGATGTGATTTTGCTATTAGATAGTTTACTACTGGGACTATGTTGCACAAGCATAAGGTTACATATGCTCATGACCTGTAGATGTCACTTTTTTTTTTCAGACAGTCGCACCTAGGTGCCATGAATTTCACATGGAACCCATGTTACATAATCATGTTTGGAGTTAATCTAAAATTGGTAATTTCTAAGTTAAAGTGGTGCTGGAAATAGTTATTTATGCTTGAAAGACTGTCAATAGGGCCAAGCAAGTCCAAGTCTGCTGAATTTATGGTTGAGCTTTCATTGGGAATGACCTGAGCCAGGCTTTAACCAGATTTCAAGCCCAAAGTGAAATGCAGGCTGAGTTTGAGCTATGGATGGAGTAATGTACTTTTGATGCATTTTATGGACATAAACATATGCATGTGTGTTTGTTAACTTTGTTTAAACTGGATTAATTTCAAAATTAGTGCTATGCTATGCAACAAATAACAATAAAATAAAAATAAGCTAAAATAAAAAAGAAGATCCCACAATCAATTAAATGGCACAAAAGGTAAAGTAGGGGATAAGATTTAGTGATCTCTTACTTCAATCAGTTCGACTTCACGTGCACTTCAATAATGTCATCATCCTCCATCCCCAGGCCATCAGGAGTTGCTGTTGAACTAATTTTATCCCCATCAAAACAAAAAACTAATTTTTGTAACTCAAGCTTACTTTTTTCTGCATACATCTTGAATAGCCGCTCGAACTTATCATCCTAAGTAAATAGGATAAGTATCATTTACATGATCTATAATATTAAAAATTGAAAGAAATAACTATCAAATAGCGTAACTTAGGTACAAAAGAAAAAAAGATGCATACTTGCCAGAAAGGGGAAAACAAATTGTATAAAAGACTTGTTTTTCAAAGAAAACAGCAAATATGTTAATTCTAAACAATCCAATTACTAATTCAGAAATATGCTTTCAAGGGTATATTACTGTCATCAGAAGCAAAATCTTTAATGAAGAATAGTGGATTCAAACAATTGTGACCTTGCAAATTTTTTCCCTAAATGGAGAGAGAGAGAGAGAGAGAGAGAGGGGAACGTACTTTCCCAGCTATATTTTGTCAAGTATAATCATTGATACGATATAATAACATAACATTACAGAAAATAATGGAGTTTTCCTACCAATTTCTTTCTCTTATGTATTCCATCATAGCCTTCTTTGTTGTTCCTCATAAACTGTTTTAGGTTGAGTTTTCGGTGGCTACTCAAAATTTTCAATGAGTTTGGAAGTTTGTATTTGGATATCACAATCATCTTACCACAAAATCCTTAGTGGTACAAATACAAGATACAGAACTTTCTGTGCCAAAATAAAAAGGAGCACTTGTTGCATCAAGGTGAGATTTCCTCAAAATTAACCCTGCATTACATCACTCTATTAATGTCTGTGTTGATTATGTGGCACAAAAACGTACCAATTTGCTAGAAATATAAGAGTCCTTCATGAAAAGCTTTATCAAACCCGCTTTAGTTTCTTCTAATTATAGATGGGCTTCTTTTAATTGACTGAATGCTACCATCCATACTACCCATCTTAATTTTACCACATAGGATGAAATGTTATGGACTACATAAAGCACATATAGAAATTATGAAAATTCTCTTTCTTGCATGCCACTATCATTTTCTACTTCAGTTGAAGCTGTTTTGTCACACAAAAAAAATTTGTATAAATTCTAGAAATATCAAGTACGTAACAAACAAATGAATATCAGTTTTGGTGTCTGATAGGTAACTTAGTAACATACTAGTTGAGAACTAGATGACAACTAGATGATGATTCTGTGAAAAAGTTCAACAAACTTTATGCAAATAAAAAAAAGTATACCTTGTAAACTCGAAATTGCTTGATTCCTTCCTTCTCCTGTATTGAAATAACTATTTTAGCTCTTTCACAAGGAGGCTTTGACGGCTGGTCAGCAGCACTTTCTATAGCAAGCTGCACAGAAGAAGTATTAAAATCTCTCTTCACAGATTGTTCTACAGCACGGAAGACATCTTCAGCTGACTTGGCGAATGACGCTAGTTCCTGCTTCTTTAACCTGTATAAATCAAACTTAGTCATAACGTAAAATGAGAAGAAAAATCCATAGATACGTAAACCTACTAGGCTATAACATAGCAAAACATGCAATATTTTGACAAATATGGATATAGCTGATAGTCAAAGCTTAAATGCATGCCATATCCTAAAACTTAAAAGACCTCAAAGAAAATTACACAATTCCCACTACAAGTTGTAATATACATCGAGGCCACATTTAGTACGCAAGGATGGAAATCATGGAATACAAGATGGATTGTAATGGAATGCCCATTCCCGTTCCACTGATTACTTATCAACATGCAATGATGTGGGAATGGAATCCCCATTCCCATATTTGGTTATACACTTGTTAAGGTGCTGGAATGGAATGACAATTACACCACTTGTAACCGTAAAATAACAGTACTATATTTGGAGACAACATCACTAAAATGACTATCTGAAAACAACCTGACAAGGAAAGAATAGCCGGAGCCTGGAGAACAAATGTGAGACTATTATGTCAGATATATGTATAAATTGTTAACAAGCTTCAGTATTCCAGGTAGCCATCAGTAGACTTCCTCTAGCAATGTCTTAGTTGTCAATTGAAGCTGTGTAAGAGGATGATTACATTGGGATTTTCCCAATGAAGAGTAAAATTTCCAAAAATGATCGATTAATTTCATAAGTGAAATAAATTGAATTTAGAGCTAGAATTAGAAATTTTGCTGATAAATTGAATTTTGACGCATACGAGGTACATAGGGTAAAAATAAAATATAAAAATAAACACGCACACACACACTCGTGAAGAAAACAGATAGAGAGTACAAGAAAATGGCTGCACAATTCTTAAATGCCACCAAGTAACAAGCATTGAAAAAAGTGAACTACTTTAATATCAAAGAAGATTCAAATTCAGATTCACAATTATGCTGACTGTAAAAACTGGTTTCTCCTTACTCATCTACTCTTTTAAAATGTATTATCCTAATGTAAAGGGTCAGAGGAAGTAGCAACCAAGGTGTTAAAGCATTGAAGAACAAAAAAAAAATCAAAGATTCACAGAACTGTTGGAACTTATGAAATATATATAAGCGATTCAGCTGATGATTGAAGCCTATTTACATTATAGAAATGCCATTCCAAAGATAGCAAAAATGTTTATTTTAAACATGAGAAAGTACTAGTTTGCTTACCTATTTGTATACAAGTAATGTAAGCCTTATATTTTGGGATATGTATTCTTTAATCCATTGATATATATATTGAAGTCACACTATAGACATGTTTATTAGGAGACACAGAAAAGATACCTCCATCAATCTACATCAAGATCATGAATTATTTCAATCAATCCCATGAAATATACATGTCCACTAGATTTCCAATGATAAATTCATTAGATTCCCAACTTAAATCTAAACCTATGTTACCTGGAATGTGTATCGTTCCGGTAACAGGAACGTGATACATCACATACTCTAACATGTGGTATGATAGGGGTACACTTGTATATATTACACTTAAGAATTTGAGATATTTTTAGAGTAATTTTCTTTTAACTATTTATTAGGCATCAAATAAAATGCATTATTACTTTTTTTTCATTGTTGATATTTTGTCTTGTCAAAACATAACTCCCTTAGATTTTAATTCATTATATTTGATTTTTTTTCCTCCTACGATAACATTTAAGGAAATATATTGAAAAAACTTTGAGATCACTTCAGATCACTAAATTTATCGTTTTGGAACGGAAGTGTTCCATGTTTCGAAACGTGCGTACCAATACGTAATGCGTTAGGGGATTAGCGTTTTCTGGTAACACAAATTTGAACATCAACTTTCATGTTTTCGTTGTATTCCCCATCATTCCCAAGATGAATGGTAACAAAAATAGAGCATGGACAAACATTGTTGAGAATTATTTATTCATTACTGACTATCACTTCACACCTCTTTGAGCTCCTTTAAGCCTAACAATCCTGCTTGGCATAGTTTTCAAAAAACTAGTCTAAAAAGCAAGTTTTCTATTAACTGTAAAAATGTTGAGTACTTGGTGTTTTCAGTCAATTTAATATTTCTAAGTTTAAAAAAATAAAAAATAAAAAAAAATCAAATTTCTTGTGTTTCTTGAAAATTGGTTCTTTTTTACTCAAGTTCCGAAAACAGCTTTTCACAACAACCCTGAGAACATAAAACTATTTTTAAAATATCTACAGCTCACTACAATTTTTGGCTTCCTTTTTTTTTTGTTTTTTTGTTTTTTTGCTACTTGGCCTTGTTTGGAAACAGGCTTTTTTAGTAATTTTTGATTTTTTAACTAAAATATGATGTAAAAAAAATTAGTATGTTTGGGATGATTTTTTGATTTTTTAGGAAAAGATATGCAAAAAATAAAGATAAAAGGAAATCTTTGACTTTTTGATATAGGTTGTTGGTTTTTTGATTTTTTTAGTGACCTTTTGACTTCTAGGCTAACAAGCAATGTTGCCAAAAAAGGCCGAAACAATCTTAATTGTTTTCATGTCATCTCAGTGAATGGTCTCACCAATTAAAGCACTAAATGCACACACAAGTAATAAAATTCATAGCTGCTTTAAACTATATGTACTGAAAGATAGAGATAAAAGGGTTACAAAACATAAAATGAATTCCTGAGCTAACCCATTAAGTTGAAACCAAAAGAGGGACTATACCTCAACTCCTTTATAGTTGAATCCTCACCGAGTTTCAGTGTATCAGCTGAAACTTTAGGAGGTGGAGGTAGCCAATCATCCTCTTCCTTATCTTCACAATCAACAACCTCCATGAATTTCTCATTCTTATCTACCGTCTCAACCTAAATTCAAGTTAATACCAACACTCAAATCAATTTCAAACAAAGACTCACATTCTAAGTTGCTAAATCATTCAAATTCAATAAAATCTGTAAAAAGTAGAGAGCTTTACAGCGGTATACGAAAGCTTCATTCGTTTGGGAGAGAAAGCTGGGGATGAATCTGAACAATCATCTGCAAATTCCAAAAATACAAATGTCTGAGACATACATATATATATATATATAGAGAGAGAGAGAGAGAGAGAGAGAGAGAGAGACCGTCGAGGCAGACAACATCGAAGGGTTGAACACGGTGGTAATCGAAGAGAGGTTCGAGTTCTTCGGTTGATTCGGCCTGTAAGACACAGAAATCGAAAATCAAGTTCAGAAACCCTAGAAAAAAAACAAAACAAAAACAGTACTTGGAAGATTAGGGGCTAGAACTTGAGAACTTGAAGTTTCGCACCATTATCGAACTGTTGCAATCTCTCTCTCTCTCTCTCTCTCTCTCTGGGACTGTTTTTGATAGATTCGATTCGATCGTCCCGCCTCTATATATAGGTGACGTTGTCAAGAAGAATTCTGAAGCTCCTGAAACTCGATTTGACCCGACCCGACCCGACTATTTTCGGGCACCCAACGTCCACTAAGAGAAGTGGAAGTGGAAGTGGAAGTGGAAGAGGAATTATAGGATGATGGACCCCTTTGGTATACGCCTGGCTTGAGAAGTTAACTATTTTAATTAGGTTTTTGATTTTTTTTATTATTTTAATTTAGTTAAAAAAATTATATTTAAAATCATAGTTAACTTTTTTATTTTTATTTTTATTTTTATAATGATTATAGTTTAGATGTGATGTTGGCCTTATTATTTATTTAAGTCTCATTTGACAATTTTCAATTATAGTTAAAAATTATATTTTTTTTATATATCTTTTCATAAAAAATTTAAAAATTACCAAATTAACATATTTCTCAACTAAGCCTATTTTGTATTTACTTATTGTAGTTCAAAATCTTCTTTCCAAACCACCCCATTTCTCCCATGTATTTTTATGAGGAAATTACATAAGTAATTTGAGAAAATTATACAATTTGTGAAAAAATTATAATTATAATTATTAATATTTATAAATTTTGTCACTGATTTATAATTATTTTTAAAGCTATGAAATTTCCCTTATTTTTATTGGAAAATTCTATTAGCACACTACAAGAAATCTCAATATATATTATTTGTTTTGTTCGGATATAAATTTTCTAATAAAATGCAAATGTTTGGGTTTAAATTGATGAACAAAAATAAATTGTTCAAATATATATTTCATTCAATTGTTTATGTCCGAACAATTATTTTTTATTCATAAGTTTATATCTGAACATTTGACTTTTATTCAGAAGTTTGTATTCGTATGATATCAATGGTATGTACTCAGATTTTTTGTGGTGTGTAAATAGAATTATCCATTTTTATTAAGTAAATTATATATATATCCCCTGAAATTTATTTAAAATATGGATTACCTCCTATGATTTGAATATGAGAATTTTTTATTTAACATGATTAACTGAAAAAAAATAAAATTTATAGCTACTCTCTTATATAATAATAAAATTACTTGAATTATTAATTAAAATAAAATTTTGATATCATTAAAAACTGTTAATTAAATTGATGATTTTATAAATAAAATGTGTCATTTATTATGGAATTAGAAACTTAAAGGACGAGATGTAATTTTTAGAACCATGGGGAACAATTTATATTTTCAGCAAACTTAAGAGAGTATATATATAATTTACCTATTTTTATTTGAACTACTACAACTACATTGAAAAGAGTTAGATACTGATAATTTTAGATTCATAAATTTATCTATAATAATATGGTAAGGGAGTTAGTGCCAATATTATTTAGTGCAGCACAAATCATGGACACCTATTATGCCACATCATGGTAAGCCAAATTGTAGGAACTTTTTAGAGATTTGACACTTTTTATACTGTATTTAGGGGTGCCTTTATTTACACACAACTTTTCATCTCAAAGCACACCATTAAATAGTTTATTTTTTTTTTACAATATATAACCTAATGTAAAATGACCACAAAGGACAAATAATTAAGATACACACCTTACGTAACACATACCAATTACTCATTGCACACCACACCGAATTTTGATTTTTTATTTTTCACTCAATACACTATCAATTTTTAAATATTCCAAAAATATCCTCATCTTCTCTAACCATAACCATAACCATAACCATAACCATAACCATAACCATAACCTTAACCCTAACTCTACCCCGCCGCCGCCATCAATCGTTGCTGTCAACCATCCTACTTCTTTTTGCCGCCGTGTCACGACCCAAACCCGGCCCTATGGGTTTAGCACCGTAACCGGCCAGTAATCCGAGATTACCGAAGGCCTGCTTAACAGTAATACAGTAAAACAGAGTACAGGGCCTGGCGGAAGCCAATACAGTAAATAAACAATGTCCAATGAGCCGTGACAGTCTGTATGCCAAAAAGATTTTTCATGCATTCATACATAAACAGTACAGAACAGTATGTACAATATTGACATCCATTCAAACTAGGGACTCAACCCTACATAACAGTACAGAAAACAGTCAGCCTATACAAAACAATACGGTCTATATAGGAGAGAAAATACAACAGTACAGGGACCAAATGGTAGTATTACTTGCACCAATTAGTATATTAATTAGTGTACCAATACTAGTTATGATATTATTATTGACTACATTCATTAATCACATTACAAATTTTAAAAATCTCTTAAATTATGTCATATCATCAATTAATACACTAATTAGTATATCAATTGAGAAATGAGATTATTAACAAGAAGGGCGAGAATGTAATTTCTATAACGTCAAGGAGTAGGATGTAATCAGACCAAACTACAAGGAGTGTTAGTGTAATTTATCCTTGTAAGTTTTAGTGACAGTTTAAATCATCACAAAAAAAATATCTCTAATTTTTAACTTTCAACAATAGTTTGAAAAATTTGTCATAGAAAAATGTTAATAATTGTAAGGTTTAGAGATAATTTATAACAAGTGTGATAAAAAAAAGTCACTAATTGTTAATTTTTAACGACATATGTAAAAAATTGTCACAAAAAAATAGTTTTAGTTATAATTTTACTAAAATTTATTTCTAATAAAATTTAATAAGAATTAAAATCGACAATTAAAACTTATTGATAATTTATCTAAAATGGAGTAATCATCCGTCCTGCCCTACATATAAAGTTTGGATAAAGACTGGTAGCTCGAAAATCAGGGCTCGAAATCTGCTCGAATTGCAAAACGACGTCGTTTTGCAATTCGAGCCGATTTCGAGCCACGATTTTCGAGCTACCAGTCTTTATCCAAACTTTATATGTAGGGCAGGACGGATGATTACTCCATTTTAGATAAATTATCAATAAGTTTTAATTGTCGATTTTAATTCTTATTAAATTTTATTAAAAATAAATTTTAGTAAAATTATAACTAAAAATATTTTTTTGTGACAATTTTTTACATATGTCGTTAAAAATTAACAATTAGTGACTTTTTTTTATCAC